CCGCGGATCAAGCTGGCCCCGCCCATCAGGCTCGACGCACTTGTGACAGCCCACAAGTCGGACGCTAACGTCCAGTGCATCTTCAAACTGGTCTGCGCAGTCAACTGAAGCGACCCGTTCGTGTACTTGAGGGTCATGGGGTACTCGAACCCGAATGCGTTCTTGATGTTGAACGTGTCGATGATCCCGACAGTTTTGTAGTTTTGCCAGTTGACGGTGTACGTGGCGACGCCAGCCGACTGCCAGTACGCCACTTCGTCCGCCACTGGAATATCCGCAGACCGTGTCGTGACCCACCACTGCCGTCCTTTGTCGGTCGCGCGGAGCGGAGTCGCGAACGCAATGTCGAGAGATGTGCCCCAACAAGAGTCAAGCTGGTCCGCGTCGACATTGCGCAGCACGCTCTCCAAGTACACGGCGCCGTTGGTCGTGTAATTTTGGTTGCATCGGCGTTGGCGTTGGGCCGAGTTGGCCATTTCCCACGTCTTGCCAAAGTCGAGCCAGCAATACTGGGCCGATATCCACGGAGCAAGACACGCGTCCATGCGGCGCAGGCCACGAACGGCCATACCGATCTCCGTTGCGTCCGTGGTCAGCACCTGCGACACATACAGCGGCGGCACTGCCACTGACACTGCCTTGGGTAAGGAAATGCTGTAGTTCGCACCGTCGACAAACTGGGCATCGTCCAACGCGACTTCGCCCCCGTGAGGCTGAAGCACGAGCTGCAGGTTGTACAGACGAGCAACGTAGGCATGCTCTCTCGACGCATTGAAGTTGGCCCACCAAAAGTCATTCGCCATGTTTGTCGCCGTCAAAGTCAGGTACGTGATACTGCCGAAGATGGTAGAAAACACATAGGCCAACCCAACAGCAGCCATGAGCCGGTTTGGCGGCTTCACGGGTGGCTTGTCCGTGGTGGTGTCGGACGATGGCTTGTCGCCGTATCGCTTGGCGAGGTCGTTGGTGAGCTCGGGCGGCGCAAATATCTTCATGCCCCACTTGACTGGCGTGGCAATGTTGGCATCCACGACCAACAACCACAGCTTCAGGTCGAAGATGAACTTGCCCACCGTGATGAGTCCGCACATGACACAGGACGCTCGATCAACGACCCACGCCCCGTTGGCGAGCGTCTCCTTGTGGAGGAAAGCGGTCGCAGTCCCCGACAGCAACAAGTGGCCGTTGTACGACTTTGGCTGGGAAGGGCGGATGCACTGCCAGAGCCGGACGGCAACGAACGCTCCTGCGATGCACGCCAACTGAATGAAGACGTACGTGACCGCACGAGTGTAGTCGCCGATAGCGACCGACCCACTATCACAGAGGAGCTGCTTGTAGCGCATTGTGAAGGTGCACCGTCGGTCGATGTTGGCCTCGACTTTGTACGGACTCGACACGTCGTACAAGAGGTAGATGAGCCACCCCAAGCACGTGCTGATCGGAGCAAAGTGCGGCTGCGAGTTGCGCGTCAGCAGCAGCAAAAAGTCGTTGACGACGTACGAAATCCACATCGCTTCGCCGCTGACCAACATGCTCTGGACAAACGTCCGAGGAGCAAACTCAAACTGCGTGTACTCGTTGTGGACGCGAAATATCAACGGCGACGTGCTCAGGACAACGACCGCCGTCATCCCACGCACCAAGAGGAACGGTCGACCGAGCCACACGGCGCCAACGATACGGTTGAATCGAAACAGGTTGCGCCCGACGATGCGACCGCGCAGGTACATGCTGTACAGAGTCACGAGGGTGCCGACCGACAACAATACGACGCTGACGACGACGGACACGACCCACAGGTACTGGCACGCGCTCTTCGGGACTTCCAACGCTCGCGCTTCGTTGATGATCGGATCGTACTTGTCCGACACAAGCGGTAGGATGCGCCAGTCGCCTTCGAACGACACGACTTCGCGTGCGCCGGTGGCCCACTCGAGCAAGTAGATCCACCCAAAAAAGTCCCACGAACTTGGAGTTGAAGAGAGCAGCGTTTGGAACAAGAATGCGTTGGTTTCGTCCGTGGCATGGATGGCGAGCTGCATCGTCCCCACGCCCAGCTTGACCACGTCGTCGCGCGCGGCGTTGATTTGACCGACCCATTCGTCGTGCATGGCGTACGCGTCACGGAATGCCTTTGCCGCGGTGGCCGCGGGCGTCACCACCGCTGTGCACTCGTGGGCCATGGTTGGGCACTGCGCGCATATCGTTGCCGCGGACGGCGCGGGGCTCGACGCCAGCAGCGCAAAAATCGAGTTGAACGCATTCAATAGCATCCGATGGCGCTCTTGCGTTGTACACGACATATCAAACGCAAAGGAAGACTGAACAAACGGCATCGGGTCTCGAAACGGGCACGACGGATCGCCCCCCATGTACAAGTACGGCTCACTAGACCACGCCAACGGCACTGGGTCTGCTTCGTACCCCGGAATTTTGTGCAGGGCTGACTTGAACGCATCGTTCGTCGGTGCCAGCACCGCCAAGGCTGCTTGATAGGTTGACGCAAGCGTCTTCAGGGACGGCGGGGTCGCCACCAGGTACAAGTCGATCGACCCAAACGGACCAATGTTGGAGCTCACCAATTCAATGCCTGGGAGGGCAGGGAACGCAAAGAAGAGCTCAAAGTCTGGCCAGCAGTCGCCCGGGATCGGATTCCACGGGGCCTTGCACGGGTCGCAGTCGTACGTGTCAGGATTTGCCAGGTAGTCGTCGTAGCTGCACGGGGAAGTGAACCGTTGGTTGTGCGGGTCGTTGCGCACAAGACTGTATTCCACGGAAGCGCCAACAGTCAAGTCATTCCAAGGCCCCCAGCACAGAATCAAGGTCGTCCACTGCGCGCCAAGGCTTTTCACCGAGCTGCTCTTGATCGAGATCGCTTGGCTACCTCCAAACGCGTTTTGGATATGAATTCGTTCTTCAATGCCCCACGCGAACACGTTTGCGTACTGCAGTGTGAAGTGGGTCAGCCCCGCGCCCTTCCACACCTCGACTTCGGACGGCACGTCCTTGAACGCGTTCGCTGAGCGCCGAATCCACTCGTCCCCTGCTGGCGTTCGGCGCATCGCGTTGCCCAGCGTCACGTTGAACTGGGCCTCCTTGGCCGTCATCCAAGTATTCCAGTCCGACATGCGAATCGTGGTCTCCCAGTACACGGCAGCGTTGGCCGTATATCGCACGTAACATCGCGCTTGGCGCGGTCCAGTGTGCGCAACCTCCCACGTTTTGTTGAAGTCGACCCAGCAAAACTGCGTGGGGATGCTATCTGGCGACCACACAAACTGCAGCGACGCAATGGCTGACGTGAGGTTTGCGCTTTCGGAATCGACCACCATGCGAGTGTACGTAGACGCGATGTGAATGGGCGAGTAGAACGTCGAGTAGTCGGTGGGGCGACCCATGGTCGAGGCGGTCAAGTCGATGGACTCGGTCGTGGCCACAATCAGCTTGTCGTTCATGGCATCAATGATGTAGGACTGGGCCCCCGTCGAATTGAAGCCCGACCACCACAAATCGTTGGCCATGACAGGCGCCAACAGCGTCAAGTAACTCATGGTCAGCACCAGCGTGAACACGACGTAACCCAAGCCGCACATTGCCTCGACTTGGTCGGTGGTCGACATGTCGGGCACGCCCCCGGCGTCCCACGTGTCATTGTCTGGCCGCGCGAACGTCTGCGCGGTTGCCTTGAACGTCATCCCGTCCGCCTTGTGGCTTTCAGTCACATCGTCGGTGGCACCAATGACGTCGTTGACGTCACAAACGTTGGTGTCTGGCGGGCACGGGTGAATTCGCCCGACCTTGGCCTCCGGGCGGCGAGGGCTCAGTTGGGGAGGGTCCGTCATTCCCCCTCGGCAAGGCCAACCCGTGTGCGAATTCTTCCGTTTCCTGGGCAACTGATCGAAACGAAACCCCATATCTAATTTAAGGTCTCCGCGGCGCCTCGTCGACGTCCCGTGGAGATGCATGCCATCGAGTCGTCTGGAAGAACCCCATGGGGCGATGCGTGGGAAGCTAGCTCTAGACGAGAGCTGCATTGAGCTCGTCCATTCGCTCGGGCATCGATTCGCTCGGGCCTTGGTGACCCCACGCGTCGTCGACGAAGGACTACGCAAGTCAAGCCACCAAATGTTCAGGGCAGCGTCCTTTCTGCCCGTTGAAGCGATTCCCACGCACGACTTGCCTATAGGGCTGGACAGTCAGGCTCGACGACAGCTGCGTTCCCTTGGAGCGGTGCACAAGTCCACCTCGGCACACGATCGAGTGCACCGCCAGTGTTTCGCCTGGCAACACGATTGTTTTCAACTCGAAAATCCCGTCGTCGTTGATTTGGGGATGCTCCATGGCCGTCGCGTTGGCGAGTCCATCGCCGCACGCATGCGGACCACCGCATCCACCCTTGCGGGATGGTACTTGATGTGGCGTCCATTTGTGTGCTGTACGTTTGGCTGCGCTCCAACGTGGCCGGTAAAACGAGAGATACATGCACAAAAACGCACTTGGAACACCCTGCAGTCGCCGAATTCGAGAGGCATTAGCACACGAGGTGGCTCATCGTAATGTTTAGATACACGACATGGTCGGCAAAGCTGCCGATGGTAGGCACTTGCTTGCTGCACAGCGGGTCTTCTCCGCTGTGTGGGTCGCACAGCTTGAACGCGGACGAATCCTCGGTGTACCATACTTCCTGTGGCTCGTGGACAAATCCCTGCCATTCCAACGGAATGTGCGGCACGACGTCCCGCCAGTGCGTCACCCGGTGGACGTGGGGCACAACTTGGAGCAGCTTGGTCACGAACGCAGCATTGCCCACGCGAGGTTCGCCAAACGTGAGCATTTCCGACGTCGTCATGTTTTGCGACGTGTGCAGATCGAGGACGGCGATCGCTGCCACGGCCGCGCCGAGCGAGTGGCCGGTGACGAGGAGCGGTGCGTTCGGATGCAAGATGAAAAGACCCTCGAGGGCCACGATGAGCTGATCCCGAATACTTTGGTACACCCAGTGGAATCCGAGGTGGACGGCGACCTTGGGCATGTTGGGCCATGGATGTGTCTTGAGGAACGAGAGGTTGTCTATCCAGTTGCGGACGTCCATGGATCCGCGAAACGCCACGACGACGTGCGTTCCGGTGAAGCCAAGGATGCCCTGGAACGCCTCCTTGGCATCGTTGATCACAACCAAGTCCGGCAGCTTGGACACGTACTCGCACGGCGGGCACGTCCAGTTTTCCACGTGCAGCTTGGCGCAGTACGCCACCGACACGATGCGGCCCACGTATAGTGCGTGGGTTTCGTTGTACACCCCTGGGCTCGACCCGAACGACGACTTTTGGAAGTCATACACAGACTCGCGGTGCGGACGAGCCCCAAGTACGACGCACACGCACGCCATCACACTCAGCACCACGGCCCGCAGCGTCGCCATGGCGAGAAGATCACAACCCCACCAATCCGTGGATTTAACGCATACTAGCTCGATAAAACGTCGGAAACATCGAATGCTCTCATGTGGGTGGCCTGCGGCATTGGCAGCTACCGGCCAAGGCGATGTCCATAGCCAGCGACTTGAACAGCTGCAGCTCATGGCGATGTCCATGGCCAGCGGCTTGAGCAGCTGCAGCCACGTGTGGTGCGGACGGTCAGTTTCTTGTGCACTACAGCCAAACGCATCCTACAGGACCAACGACGACAGGTTTGCCATGGGCTGCTATGACGGGCAGCAAACGACTTGCGTGCGTTTGCGAGGTGCTGGCGTCGAGTCTCGATCATGGACATGACTCCATTTTCGATGCTCCTTGCACGACCGACAGACTACACTGATAACGTTGCGTAGGGATTCGTCGCTGGGACAAGCGCCGCTTCCACGACCTCGATGGCCACCCAACAAACACCCTTTATATACAATCGTGAGCGCGCCCCAACCACGGGCGCTTTGCATGCTCGGCTAGCCATCCCGCTGCACCGCGGCCCATTTCGATTGAATGTACTGCCCAAACGGCTCGTGGTTGGACGCCACCGTGTGGTCCAAGAGCGTGTTGACGTTGGCCAGTAGTCCTGGACGGGTGGCCGTCGTCGCTTTCGCAATGGGTGGAATCCTGGCGTCGTAGTCAGGGTAGTAGAAAAACACGAGGGACGTGCGGTCGTGCTCCACGTCATTCACAACCCGGTGGACGGGAGATCGCCATGTGCCGTCCGTCAGCAGCGACAAGTAGTCGCCGCCGTTCACGAACAGCGTGCCGGGAATATACGGCACGTCCGTCCATTTGCCGTCGTGAAATAGCTGCAGCCCGCCGACTTTGTCTTGGAGAATCAGCGTCAAGAAGCCCCAATCGGTGTGGGGACTTGATCCGATAACGTTCCGGCCACCGCCTAACGCACCTGGAACGTCAGCACATGCCGAGAAATCGATGGACCCCGACGGTGGGCTCGACTCATGTAGCAACGGCTAACATCGTACGTGGTAATACAGAATAGGGAAAGTAGTGGAAGGCACGCAGGATGGAGATGGTGTCGCCGTGGGTGCAAAACGAGCTGAAGTACGACGGAGGCTTGTTCAACGCGACGGACAATGCGTCGCACAAACGATTCGATACCCCCTGGACCATCGTGACATTGCGGGTTGTCCAAGGTGCAGGATGGGTACCACCAGGGTTGTGAAGAGCGACTGGAGGGCGCGCTGGTGGCTGGTCGCGAGCTCGGATGGCCACACGTTCGGCCCTTGCAGTGGATTTGACGGTGCGATCGTCGCGTCCCATTCATATCCGTACGAAAACCCCTCCTTGACTTCGACAAAGTCGGCGCTTCCGCTTTCAGCGCCAAGACCAATGTAGCCCCGGACAAATCCAGTCGACGACGACGGGCGGTGGTATTTGTCCTTGACCTCTTGCGCCATGTCAAAGTACGCGTGTGCAGCGTCCATCACTCGAGCTTCTTGTGGGGTGTCGATGCCGTGTCCTGGAAGAAGTCGTTGATTCGCGAATCCCTTCCAACACGTGAATCCTACCTTTGAGATAGCAGCAGCCGTATGTCGAAAACGCATGATGCAAGTCCACACTGGCTTGCTTGCTGTTGGAAAGGTCGACGATGGGGACGACGGGGGTTGTTGGGTTGCGTGTGAAGCAGCGCACGCATTCCCAGCGCCGCGTGGCCGCGCGCCACCCGACGCTGGACGCGGTGCCCCTCGCCGCCGAGAACATCCAGTACAACTTTCTTTCTTGATAAATGATAGAATCATTTATTTCAGGTGCCCATCCAAAACTTCACAGCGCCCGAATGCCGATTGTGTTGGGGATCGACATTGGCACGACTGCCGTGAAGGCATGCCTCGTATCCGGGGAGGCCCACGTCATGAGCAATAGCACTGTCGAGTACTCTATGCAATGCTTGAGCTCTCCTTTCCCGAAAGGTTCGGAGACCGATGTCTCCAGCGTCCTGGTCGCTGTCCTGTCGGCCGTGCGAGCGCTAGACTTGCCGCGGTTTCCTCCAACGGCCGTCGCGCTGTGCGGCCAGGTAAGCCTATCTAGCTTCAAACTCTTTGTGCGTTGATGCATAATGTGCAGCTGGAATGGGTAGATGCATGGCATTGTGTGGTGGTCGGCCAAGGACTTGGTTGACGGTGTCAACCAAGTCTTGTCCAGCACGTCCAAGACGGTGCCAACAGCATGGTCGTCCTTGATCTCATGGCAAGATGGCCGTTGCGACGGCGCATTTCTTGACGCTTGCCGCAGCCGCGTGCCGGACCACCTGTCTCCGCTGTCGTCTGGTCGGCGATGTGCAATATCTCGCCGTGGCACTCATCGGGTCGTCCATTCCAAACAGGTTACGGCATCGCAACCTTTGCCCATGTCATGCAACATTCTCCATGCCAAGTCGAGAGATTCGACACCTGCGGCACCATCATGGATCTTGTGGCGTTTGCATTGTGTGGCCATACGAGACCGACGGACGCCACGATGGACACCACGAATGCGTTCAGTTGGGGCGCGTTTGATTCGCAAGCCCATGCGTGGCCTGCATCGGCGTACGTCCGAAGTCTAGCGGACGTTAGAGCTTCACCATCATGGCCAGGGTGTCTGCGCTGGGCATTCCTGTCGACATCTTGCCCAGAGTCGTGCGACCTGGCTCGATTGTGGGCATGATGGCGAGCCGAACCACCAGTGTATTTGCCAACGTTATCGCTGCGTCGAGCATTCCAGTCTATGCACCGATGGGAGACCACCCATGCTCGGTGCTTGCCTTGCTCCATGTCCATCACGTTGTGTCACCCGTCGAAGTAGCGAGTCCGTTGCGTTGTCTAGCGCCGAGTTTGGTCCAACAACGCTCTGTCTCCCGCGTAGTGATCAACATCGGCACGTCGGCGCAACTGTCTTACGTAGAAACGCCATCGTCCCGTCCAGACGACGACGAAAATCGCCGCGACGGCAACTCGTACAGCTTTGAAAAGCGTCCGTACTTTGGGTCCCAGGACCTCTATGTCGCTGCGGCGTTGACAGGGTACGTTGCACGCCATGCAGAAACGGGCTGGTGCGATCAGGTCGTAGCGGCAACGTGTTTGCTCGCTTTGTCGCCAACTGTGTCCAGTGGGCGACCGATCTAGGGGTCCCATCGACAGCCAGTGACGGCCGCATGTTTGCCAACGTGATTGCCATGGGGTTGCAGCGAACCGACACGGCGCTGACGTGTCGACCGACCTTTGGCGGCGAACGCAGCCAGTCAGCCAACAACACGGTTTGCATCGGACGTTGTGTCTGCGACGGAATGAAATCGGGCCGTGCGTAGACGGGCCAACTGTCCAACATGGCCATGGACAATTGGTCGATTGGAGACATGAGCGCCGCGATCGCGAGGGGCATTGTCACAAACTTGATCGAGTTGTTGCCAAAACGAAAACAAATCGAGCTCCGTCGTCGCCGGTTCTGCCCGACTCTGAAACTCGTGGCAAATCTGAAGCGTGCGGTGTGTAGGGTGCTCGGAAGCGGCAACGCCCTCCTTCGCAATGCCTTGCTCCAGCATTTCGTGCAAGCCGAATTCGCCCCCAACGCGGTTGTGCTGTGCCGAGAGAGCGATGCGGCGGTGGGAGCTGCACTTGTCGTCCTGCAATATGGAGCACCCTCGATATAATACAACAGCCCTCTCCGAGTTGTTCATTCGGTTGATTCCAGATAAAAAGCACCACCGACGCACTTTGCGCTTTCAACCTTCCAAGTGCAGTGTCTCGGCGGTGGCATCGACGGCGCACAAACGACTCGTTCCGCGCTGGTACGGACTGTTGGAAAAACTCTTCTTGTTCTACACGGGCCATCGCGCATTCATCGAGGCCACCAAAACAGCCACGATCCGATGCACGCCGCCGTGGGGAATCCTGCATCACGTTGTCGGTTCGAGACGTCGCGGTGGCCACGGCAGAGCGGCCCGCTCGATAAGTTGCCCATGACGAAGGCGGACAGTGGCGAGATCTCCGTGTCGACGTCGTTCAGGACCGAGCCGCGCCACTGGCCGTGACGAACGACGTGCACTGGCGAATAATCCGTTGACCGGCAATGGTTTCTTTGGAGTCGGGTTTGTTCGCTAGGCCACGGGTTGTTGTTGACCATGGCGGGCGTCTACAACCTGAGGCGTCTTGAGCTCACCCATGGTTTGCCCCGACGCCGCCATTCCATGTGTCTGCTTTAACGGTGAAGAACGACGCAGCGCTTCCACGACTCGTGCTCTCGTACGACTGCAGGCACGATGCCCATTTCGGCGCGCGCGGGCCGTTCCTGGACATTTGCCGTTGGGTCGTTCGTCGTGTGGAATGCCATCGAACGCATTTAGAGTTGGGAGCGCGACCTTTGCTATTGCAATCATCGTCTGCCCACTGCAAGTACGCCATTCAGCGATCGCAACATCATGACGTACGAGCAAGACGTGTCCCGGAGCTAGCGTTGGCCATCGTCGATCCTGTCCGTCCGATGGCACAACAGCTTGGACGGATTTCGCACATGACGGTACGACGACAGCTCTTTTCGATTCACGCGTCTGCCATGAAGCGCAAATTGGTCCATTCTGACGGCCGACTTCGGCCTTTTTCCTCTGGTAGGGTGGGGGCTCGATTCGGCCAAGCACGGCCGACACGCGGTGTGCTGTTCACTCGATTTTCACTGACAATTGAAGCGGGCATGCCTTCATGCTTGCGTGTGCCTCGTCTTCGTTGTCGAGGCTATTGCGCGAAGTTCACCTGTGGTGCAAGTCTTGACTTCTGTTGTCCACTAGCAACGGGTACGGCTCCTCTGCAGCTTCAGGCGCTTCGACCGCCTGTGCATAGAATACGCTGGAATGACGAAAACAACTGCATTTAGATCGATGCAGCGACGACATTTGCCGCAGACTCTCGGCTTCACCAGAGCCACGATTTGCGCTGCGTCGAGTGGTGGATTTGCATGCATAGCTCGTGAACGCGGCCTTCGTGGTGGAATCGTTCGCTTTCGACGCTTGAATGACCAAGCCACTGCCACATCTTCACATCGAAAGCGGAAATCGTATGCACGAACCGCTTCGAGAGGATGCCGTCGATGGCTGGCGGCGACGGATCCATGCCCAACACACTTAGCACGTCCGGATCGCGACCTTGAATGGCGTCGAACACTTGTCACCTGGTGCCCCCTTCGCTCGTAAACTTGGCCGACGACGCAGGCAGAGCACGCGCTGCATGTGGAGTGGCAACTAAGAATTCTTGGCACGCTCGTTGAGGTAGAAAATGTAGTCGTCGAGACAGCCCCAACAACCAGTCAACGGACCGCCCCATGGCTGCCGTTCCTGCAACCCATATCGCCAACGGCATCTTTGCGATGGCGAACGTACCATTGTTGCAAAACGAGGTGACAGTCGACTTTGTCATACAGCCACTGAGGAAAAACGAAGTCCTGGCACGATTTGTCCACGAGCCATGGGGTCACGGCCAGGTGCTGCCACCATCGCGTCATTGACAACCTCGTTCGTCTGACCCCTCCCAGCTCCGCCTCCAGCGAGAAGCAACTAGTCGGACGTGTAGTTGGCATGCCGTGATCGGTGTATATTGAGGGGTACGTGAAGGCGGGTGGATTCACGGTGAAAAAAGCTATGCTCTCGTACGCGTGGCCGACGTGAATGTCGTTGCTTGGGGACCC